GTCACTTATCTATTGGCTATTTATAAAACATAGACACATCGGAATTATTATTATTGATTTAGGAAAGTAGTGAATAATTATTACACGCAGTAGCTGTCGTGATTAGTGCTGGTCTTTTTCCACGGATATAAAAGAGGAAAGTCATGAACAAATACTCACAGGTTAATACTCATTCTTTCGCAAGTAAACTCTACCTGGAAGAACGGTTGGCCAAAAGCAAAGCCTATGCTTCCCTTTGGCATTTCTCCCTCACTTGTTAAATAAGAAGACATTTTCCTGTTCTCCTCAGTCTATTCTTCAGGGGGTTTAAAATATTCAGTATTTTCGCAGGCCTGGACGTTGTAAGACTTGAGTGAAGTGAGGCGTGTAAAATCCTTGTGAGTCAGTGATTTCAATCAATGTAGAGGAACAAGCACTTCCTGATTTAAGTTCTGTATCGAGATGAAATGATGAAGTTGATGTAGGCTATAGGCCTTCCCAAGATATGTCATTTTGTCTAATCTAATAGATATATACAGTATGTCAGGCCTATAGGAATATTAGCTATAAAGGAATGTAAATATACATCGAAGGTTTCTTTATAAAGTTCATGATTATGATTAACTTTCTATTTTATATAATTGGTAGCTTGTATAGTTTTTTTAGTTTCTTGTTGCTGTTCATTCTCTCATTTTCTCATTTTATAGCTGTCCTATTTCTATGTTAGCAAATTGCTAATTACAAATGTTTGAATAAATGAATAAGTATTGTTCACAATGGAAGGAATAACAGTAGCCCACACATATACCTGTGTCCCCCCTTCCTGTTTCGGACAGAGGTGGTGTTGATGCCCTCCAGCCAGGCTATGTGAGGCTTTTTGATGGATCTCTAGTTCCACATACGTAAATCAATCCAGTTCGGTCCTGTTTCCAACTTGAGCTTAATACAGAGTGGCCAAAGTAACATACCATTTGGTTAACGTTTAGTATGCTCAGGCAATGTTTGAGGTCTAAACAAATAACTCCTTACTGCCTTGGTAAACATAAACCAAATGTTTATAGGAGCTTTTGTCAGATGAAACGCAGCAGCATCATGGAGCCTAGGTCTTGGTGGAATTGAGTTTCCACATAAAAATGATATTTTATTCCTTTCACCATGACAAAAAAGCAAAATGTATTTGTGGATATTATTTTAAAATTCGATTTAAATTAACCAAATATTTTACCGTTTTTTTTTCAATTGCTTACACACTAAAATTAAAACCTTCCCACAATTAGCAAAACCTTACACTCAAGGAGCAAAACACCGGCCTAGATTTGCACAACTGTAAGCACATTGTCAGCTTCACACTTTTTGCAAAACATTACACACAGGGATTTGCAAAACACTAAACACACAAATGTATCATGATGTCATTTCCTTGCAATTTCAAAGCAAAGGCTTTCAAATGAACACACCCATGAACCAATTGGTTAAACACAGCCACCAGGTGTGCACACACACTGGTGCTTAATTGTAGACACGCCAATCAGGTTTGTGCACTATAAAAAGGCAACAGGTAAGTTCACCTGTCTTCAAAAAAATGGACGGTGTCAGAGGGAGAGGGAGAGGGAGACCTGAAGGAGGGGTAGGACATGCACAAAGAAGAAGACAACCAAATCTGTGTAACGAAATTCGTGCTACAATTGTGGACCATGTAATAAACCACGGAGTAACACTGAGGGAGGCTGGACTGAGAGTACAGCCTAACCTAAGCAGGTACACGGTGGCATCAATAGTTCGGACATTTCGTCAAGAGCACAGGTGAGAAACGTATCTTCTGTCAACAGAACATCCATAGCTTACTGCATGTACTATATCAAGAGTTTTGGTGTCTATTCCTGTATCATTTTACAGTAAGCTACATGTATTTTGTTTGGTCAACATAGGATGAATGTCGAGAACACCAAGGAGGGAGGGGCCCCATATTCACACAGGAGCAAGAGAGAGAGAGATCATAAACCTTGTTTTGGCCAATAATGCAATCAGACTTAGAGAAATTCAAGCCCATATTGTCAATGATCACCGAATTTTCAATAATGTCCAACAGGTCTCTGTCAACAATAGCCTGTATCCTTAAAAAACATTAAGTTCTGATGAAACAACTGTATAAAGTGCCGTTTGAAAGAAATTCAGACAGGGTGAAAGGCCTGCGGCGTGAATATGTGGTGGTATGTTTTGTTCACTGACTGTAGTATTGTGTACTGCACACAACCTTTTTACTGTACATGTAATTTTACTGTATAGCAGACCTACAGTAAATTGATCTACACAATGTGATCTTTTGCTGTATTTCAGAGTTTTGCAAATGGATGCGGAGCAAGTCCCGCATTAGTTTATATACATTGATGAGGCTGGATTTAACCTGACAACAGTGAGAAGAAGGGGAAGAAACATCATTGGCCACTGGGCTATTGCCAATGTACCAGGGCAACGTGGGGGTAACATTACCCTTTGTGCTGCCATTACACAGAATGGGGTCCTCCACCGCCATGCCAACTTGGGTCCTTACAACACTGACCTCATTCTTACATTTTTAGACAGATTACACAATATTATCACAGCAGCAAACCAAAGGGACCAGATGCAATACATTGTCGTCTGGGACAATGTAGCTTTCCATCGTTCTGCTCTGGTACAAAACTGGTTTCATCAACACCCACAATTTACAGTTCAATACCTTCCACCATCCTCCCCCTTCCTAAACCTCATCGAGGAGTTATTCTCAGCATGGCGGTGGAAGGTTTATGATCTCCGGCCCTATGTCCAGATGGCCCTCATTCAAGCTATGGTGGAAGCATGTGATCAAATTGAAGCAGCATCCATACAAGGGTGGATTCGTCACTCCAAAAGATTCTTCCCACGTTGCCTTGCAAATGAAAATATAGCCTGTGATGTTGACGAGGCCCTGTGGCCAGATCCAGCTAGGCGGAGAGATGTTTAGGTTATTTTTCTTTTTTATTCGGTACTGAACTGGATATGTAATTTATGTTACAGTATTACTGTAAGCTTACAGTACAATGGTACGTTCAGTAATACTGTATGAAAACTGGAAAATGTTTTGTTGAAATGTTCATTATTGACTGACTTGAGTACATGAAAATAAATACATATTTTCATTAGTCTGCACAATTGGTGTCATGTGGTGTTGGTGAATTTATTTTTACACTTTCTCTGTGTAAATGCTAAAAGTGTTTTAGGTTGAGCACAGGAGTGTTTAACTGATTCAAACAGAATCAGACCATATGATGGTTGGGTTTATGTTATGACGACAAAATACGTTTTTTATAAGACATTGTATAGTTTTGACAAAAGTGTTCAATTTTGCAAATGATCTGAGGTGTTGTGCTAATTGTGTGAAGGGGTTTGAAAAACCGGGCCCTGTTTTCAAAATTGTGCTTAAGCAATTGAAAACTGTAAGCATCTAATTCTTTATTCTAAACGAATTTATTTGATAGATGATTAAGCAATCAACTCTATAGCTTTATAAAACTGCCCTTCTGCGTGGTTCAGATAAAAACGAGAAAACACAACCTGGTTTGATTAATGGAGGAACAGAAACCTTCCAGTCGGAAGGCACTTAAAGACCTTTCTTGTGATACTCGACTTATTTTGTGGTCGTCTCTCAGATTTCCAGTAAAATAGCCAACAGCAAGGAAGCACTTTCTAGACAGACCTATAACATGGAGTCGAGAACACCAAGCCTCTGTAGGTACTTTTCCACATATGTTTTAAGAGACTTCAAATTCATTTGTGCTCAGCCAAGTTTTTCGGTTAATATTATTCGCCTCAATGGGCTCCCGAGTGGCGCAGCGGTCTAAGGCACTGCATCTCAGTGCTTGAGGCGTCACTACAGACCCCCTGGTTCGATTCCAGGTTGTATCACAACCGGCCGTGATTGGTAGTCCCATAGGGCGGCCGGTGTTGTAAATAAGAATTTGTTCTTAACTGACTTGCCTAGTTAAATAAAGGTAAAAATGAATACAGGAGAGAAATGTTTTCTATGAAAAATCACTGAAGGACAATCACACAAGGACAATCACTATTCAATCCGCATCGCGGAGGTTCAGCTTTACAGCATGATTTAAATTAACTTTACATTTAGTGAAATTAACTTTACATTTCTCGCTGAATCTATAACGCTTCAGCTTTACATATTTAATATAGCCCTAATAATAGTAATAAAGTATTAGACTATTAAATTCAACGAAAATGAATTGCCTCAAATGAACAATATCCAAGACGCATTTCAAGGGGGTTTATTCTGTCTATAAAATTGAATAATGTTATTTGGACCAATAGTCTAGACTAGCCTACTACAACGAATCCAGATCATCTGATTTCGAATAAAAAAAAATATTCTGAATAATTGCGTTGGTAGTCCTTCAAATAATTCAGATAGGCCTATGTAGGGTTTTGCTGCTTGAAACCCAATGCAGTAGGCTATATAGAAACGAAAATAAAAATTTACAAAAACCAACCTCTCAATCTGAATTACAGTTTTCACATTTTATTTAAACGATAATCTGATTAATAAATAAGGTTTGACATGATAGTAAATGACATATGGATATACCGTATAGTTGATATGTTCAATATAAAATACACATGTGCTATTTGAATTCGAAAAAAATGAAATCTGGTTTATAAAATAAATACACAACCCTTGTTTATTAAATCACATAGCCTTATTGTAGTGACTGTTGTGCCAGCATCCATGGCGTCCAATTAAAAACAGTGTCATTCTTTAGACAAGGGCTATTTTCCCAATTGTCCGTTGGAAATTGTTCATCTGTTGTTTTTGGTAACGCGCTTTCTTTGTGGTTATTACCTATCCGATTATTTTGTACTAATATTTTGGGTTCAGATAGTGTCCCTCCCTGGTTCAAACCGGTTTTGTCTTAACCAACACTGCACAAAAGCCTCTACAACACTCCACCAGTAAATCACAGTCTGAAATGTTTGAGGAATGGATAACTAGCTTATTTCTGGTTTCCAAAAACAAGTGTTTTGTTTTAGTTTGAGGGTTTTAGTCCATGTTGTGTTTCTTTGTGTCTTCTTAAATCGACTTTTCTCTGGAATCCCTTGCTGCAGAGGTCGCATCCGAATGGTTTGAAGCCCGTGTGTTTCCGGCTGTGCGTTATGAGGTTGGAGCTCTGGCTGAACGCTTTCCCACACACCTGGCATTTGTGCGGCTTCTCACCTGCAGAACAAAAATGTATGCATTAACCATCATCTTACCTTCAATAGCCAAATTACGCATGACCTCACCGTTATGCATTGGGTGGCCGTGTATGCAATTAACATATTTAGTGTTGTAGCGAGGTCTACTAATACACTACAATTTCTGACGTCTACTTGCCTGTGTGGATGAATGTGTGTTTCTTCATGTCTGATTTCTGGTGGAACCTCTTCCCGCAATACTGGCATGGGTAAGGCCGTGTATCAGAGTGGATGAGGAGATGCGTGGAGAGAGTCGACGACCTTTTGAAGCTTTTACCGCATATTTTGCAATCAAAGCTTCTTTCCTGTGGAAGTATATAGGCAAATATAAGTCTAAATATGATATCGATTAGATCGTCAAAACGGTAAAGTAGCCTATTTTGCTTCTTGACTGAATAATCAGTGACAAAAACTAGAATGGTCTAGATTCTAGAATAGTCACCTGAGAGTGCACAGCTTTATGTTGCTCGAGGCTGACAGCATGTCCGAAGGTTTTGCCACAGATATCACAAGCGTAGGGCCTCGTGCCACTGTGTGATCTGCGAACGTGAACCTCCAACCCATGCGGAGTCGAAAACACCTGCAGAGGGAAGTCGTTTGAAATTCGTGAGGGGAATGATGATGGTGGCAGGTCAATAAAGGGAGGGACAAGTGTGTCCATAACCACACATCTTCAAGCAAGTCATTGCTAACATAAGATGCTTAAAAATTTCAATTTGCATCCATTATCTTACCTTACTGCATTTGATGCACTTGTAGGCACCATTCAGAATGAGCCGTGAGCAGAGTAAGTCAGACTCGGCCTTGATTCCTGGGCTTTTCCCGTGCAGGTTCCCTTCGGAGTACAACCCAACCTCGGACAGACCCGCAGCAGACCGGTAATCACTGTCATTTTCTGCTACCGGACTTCTGTTAAAGAGGGTTGGTTCGATGGCCCGGTCGCCGTAGTACCCTATCGCCGGGCATCTCTTCAAGTCCATGGGGTGGTGGTGCTGGTGATGGAGACTCTGCTGGACCAGGTGACGGATGTCCGAACCAGAGTAACTGTTCCACGCATAGGGCCGGAAAGGAACAACGGGGAAGGGTTGTGTCTCGTCCACCGAGGGAGACAGGGATTTCTCTGAATCTACTATTGAGTTGCAAATAAATGTAATTCATTAGCGTATTGCGATTTAAAAGCATAAGATGGATATAGGCCTACAAGCAATCAGGATGTCCCATCATCAAATTGTGAAATTGTAATCGCAGTGCATAATTAATCATTGCCTCTGCTACAATCTCCCATTTGGGGATAGCTACATTTTAATGCACCACAGACTAAATCTCTACCTGGTGATGCTGAAGGCGATGGAGGCCGCCAGAAGTCTTCATAAACTGAAGCTGGACCGCACACACTGTCCCCACAGTTGAGTGTGGACTTGGAGGAGAAGTCAGCCGTGTCCTCCAGGTGAGAGTCCGTGGTGAACTCTCGGATGGCATCGCCTCCTGTCAAGGCGTCCGATTCCTCTGGAATCTTACTATTCTCTGTTTTAATTACATCGAGGACAACGTGAGTAGCCTATTGCAATAGCCTTAGCCTATAACAACGACAAAAATACAACTTTGATAATGATATCCTAATACTGTAATAATTATTGTAAGAAGAAGACAAAATATAAATAACTTTAGAAATAGCCTATATGTGTCAGTACAATTAAATCTTATGAAGAATAACTATGCAAATTCATTCCACTGAGGTCAGTGTAGCTATCGAAATAATGTAAACATTTAAGATTTAGATACAAGATAAGCCCATTTGGGCTATATATTTATTTGAATCTGTAAAACTAGACAAATAAAAGTGAATATTTAGAACAATATAATTAGGCTACAGAAAAACGAATGAGTTTGTCCATTTCGATTGAAATCATTTGCATTTATAAATGGTGCACCTCACACAACATCCAGACATTAACATGGAAATAACATCCACATACCTGCACATATATGAGCTAAGATAGTATCCAGTCTACAGTCATCTTCAAAGGAGCGGAGCTTGTGGTAGCTGTGCGCCTTCTTACTCTTCACCAAGAAGGACCGAGGCATTTTCACTCTCCTTGTTCGGTCTTTGCTAATATCCAAAATCACTGGCCATCCAGATCCAATAGCAATCTGCTCCTCTGTTCCTGTGATGCGTTGTTGCTGTCTTATCCCTGAAAATATTTGAAGACTATTGGTTGACAATGTGTGGTCAACTATAAGAGATTTCTGGCTGAGGATGGAGCATGCGCACACGCCCTCTCCCGTCTGCCAGGTGTTGTGGGCGGGGACAGGTGCCTAGGCTAGAGGAAACTCGTCCTCAGTTCATTGCCGCCCCTGGGGCCAATGATTGGTCCGTCTACAGAACAAACAGCTCTCCAGACAGCTCCCTCTCACGGATCAGCCTGTATCTCTCCACGGGGAATTAAAACCCATGGCAATCAGGATAAGTGATACACTGCTTTATCAATGTGTTACTTAATCCCTCCCTATCCCTAGCTGCAGGACAGGACAGACAGGGGAGAGAGGAAACGCGGGGACCAACTGCACCTGGGTGCCAGTCAGTCAGGGTTGCTATGGGTCGGAGTGTGCTACGTGTGTCTCTAATCAACATGACTCATGAGACGTGTTATCTCTGTGCTTGATAATGGTACAGTATCCACATATTTCCGTCATCGATGGAGCACGAATGAGAATGCGAATTATAGAATAGTAGGCGAAGTATGGAGGTGGTTGTGCCCAAATAGTCACATGTTGAATAGCCCCTCACTGGTTTATATAGCATTTCTCAAAATGAACAAATGTTGTAAAACTACTAATGTATGATAATACTGCATCAGTCTGGAATTGTTTTGCGTCCTTCACAAATTCATTTTCATCCATCAATTTGGTCGGCGTCTCTTCATGTATACTTACGGCTATATTTGATAACGGCAGACAATCCCTGTCCACACGCCTGCCTGCAGGGCCACGGGAGTTTCGTATTTCCTGCAGTATTATAATATGCTCAGTGAGTAAACAGTGCTACCTCTGTTCCCTGTCCGCATAGTAGGGCTGCTGATTACCTGTTCTGGCCCAATTACGCAAAGAACAACAGGCCATGCAGCGAGCGCATTCAGCTCGCCTCGCACGCCAGACTGCCAGTGGGGCAGAGAATATCAGTATCAGTGTGTCACATTTAGAAGGTTTCAACCAGCTGATGGCGCGTGCCAGACATTCAGAATCAGTGAAATGGTTTCATTGGGGCCATGATAGACATCATTTCTATGTCCTTACATTCTATGTCTACTGCATTCTCTTGCTACAATATTCATATTAGACAGGTGAAATGACTAACTCAAAAACACCTATAAGCCTATTCTTTTAAAGTATTTAGAGTATAACACAATGTAATGAAATTAGTTACTTATGGAAGTTAAAACTAGGCTAATCAAACTAACTAATAGCAATGTTGGTACGAATTCATATTTAAATGTAAATGTCGGCCTGTTCGTTTATGAACTTTGCAGTGAGACAATACATTGGTGACAGGATGAGATTTAAAACATTTTATAATCAATCATTTTGTTTTAGACTCATGATGTAGCATATTTTTTTAGTTATTTTCTGTCGTCTTATTTATCTTTATTTTTATGCATTAGTATTCTATCGGGTGCAGAAAGGCAGGCCAAAACCACCAGTGACTTGCAGGAAATCAAAGCGCCATATGCCCTCTGTCGATTAGAAACATCGCCGCTGCATCCGGATCTCGCATTGGGTATAGGAGATATGACAGGCTACCGCAACACAATCTCCAAAGAAAACGCCATGGCTACTGATAAAACACAAGACACACTGACGCGAGGTAAGCCTGACCATTGCCCAATTTCTGGTGCAATGATGTGACTGATGTGACTTTATTTCATATAGAAGCCTAGAAAATCTATTCAACTCATCAAACCACTGGAACGTAATTTGAAATGCTTTAATAGCATAATCCAAGCAAATCATTTAGGTAGAAGTTCATTTATAGCCTATTTGAATGGGAAAACGTTGAATGCAATTAATTATAGGCCTATCATTTAACAAAATAGCACTCAAAGAATCAAATAATTTAGGTTATTAAATCTGATAGGCTAAATATAAATCTTATACGTTTGCTTTGGGCACCATCAATGCATAGCCTATCAGTTAGCCTATTGTTAGTTTATGTCATAATAATAATCATCATACATTATGAGGCCTTTTATCATAATTCAGCAGGCCTATACTTTCCAACTAAATAACCAGTCATAATTGATTTGTTCAGCCTTTATGCATAGCTTATTAAACAACAGGTCCTACGTGTCTTTTTCCAGATGTCTATCAGCTGTTGTATGTGCATTAGGTTTTTTCTACAGGCACATTTAAAAAAAAGTACAATCAACAATCATTGCTGAAATATTTGAAATGTATAGGCTAACTTTGTTTTTTAAAATAAGAATGGTTTTCCAAACAAGTGTTTGCTTATTGAAATGTTCGATATATCACAGTATTGAATGATTTAATCAATGGCATTGGCTGCATGTAATGAACATAATAGCCTCCGCCTCTGTTGAAAGCGTGTGTTAAACTTCGTTATCCTTTCCTCTCATTTGAAAATACGCGCTTGATCCCACTGCACAATTCAACACATGTGAAGCAGCCTGAGCCTACGCATTTAACTCGTGGTTTTATACGCCTTTGTATAAGCCTACAGCCGTCTAGCTCATAAAGGTTTCTGACACATAACATCATTCTAAAGGTCGCCTCTCCACTGAGTCAGAAATGTACAGCCATGCTTAGGGTATTCTAATAAATTAAATTAAATCACTTTTTTTGTCCACGAAATTGAAACATTTTGAGCATCTATGCTGCTTTGCGCAATTCATCCACGTGTTTAGATAAAAGGCTCACACGTGTTCTAATCAATAAAGAGCTTTACATTTTTTATGTTGTAGCCTATCAATTTAATATTATGCCCGTGTGCGTCCCCCTTAACGCGGTATACTATAGGCATACAGTTGACTTAGAAAAATGCAGAGGTTGACAGTAGTGGAGCAGGTTCAAGTATTAGCCTACCGGAGTTCAAGCGTAATGAAATCTCCTCAGACCTGTTACAACAACCCGGGTCCAGTGCCGCTGAAGGATCTTATACGTTGTTGTCCCATTGAAAGGCGCAATGCAAGACATGCAGCTCTGAAAGTTGGCCTCTTAAAAGCAGCAGAATGATTTGACTTCCTGAACGTTATTTCAGACATTTGATTCATGCAGATGGTGGAAGAAAGAAGGAGGGGGGGGGGGGGGGGGGGGGGGGGTTAGAGCATCACTGACTGGCTGAGTGCTAACTCAAACTAAGCTCAACATTGAACCTTGTCAAATTGGCATAGGCTGCCAATAAATAGTATAATAAGGACCAAAGTGCTGTATAATTATTTCATCTCCTATCCAATGTGCGTTGTACGTTTTTAACTGCACTTTTTCTTACCCACCCCCCACCCCAAGTAGGGGATAGTGGGGTAAGTTGAGCCATTTTCTACATTCAGCATCACTCCATCAAAGCAAATATAGTATTCTTTCTAACGAAGATATCTACATATATTTCAGGATGTTGTGTATCCCTAGAAATGATCAGAAGTCATGTAAATATTACAGTTTTGAAAACATAGCTTGTGCCAGGAGACCACTTTCTTTGGACAACATACCCCGGGTATGGGGTAAATTGAGCCGCGGGACAGGTTAAGCTGCCTACAAATTTCTGTACTGAATGAAATATTACCACAACCTTTCTAAAACCATATCTATCTTTTATTTCCCAAACACAATTCAACACAATCACTTTTTTATCTTCGAATTATTTTAAACATATTTTAACACAGGCTTAACACCTAACAAACACTTTGCACATTTCAAAACTTAACATAGGCCAGGCCCTGTTGTTACCTCATATCCCAGTGATAATGTCCAAAGATCAAATTTGGAGTGAATCTGACTTTTAGTCCATGAGAAGATACATTATTTTTAAGCATTAGCTTTACATAGTCAAAAAAGTTAATTGTTAATAGTTTCCTTATTTTTAAAGATATTAATGCCAAACTTAATATGGTTCATTATGGTAATGTCTTTGATGACCCTAAAACGTTTCAAGTTGATAGGCCATTGTGAAGTGGATCATTTGTTTTATTAAATGGACACGTAACATCGTATTTCCTGATTTATCAATAACTCAGCCATCTCTAAACCCATCCCTTAGCTTTTCTCAAACTAAGTTAAGAGATGTACCATGGGCCTGCATGGTGTTATTTTGACTTATGATTAATGAGAATACGTTTTTCAAAGGTTTTCCAAAATGTCCAAGATTGAGGAAAATCTTTCCTGACGGACCTTATGGGTCCTTGAGGAAAGACACCTACATACAAAGTTTCAAATCTATAGGTCAAACGGGGCGGCAGATATGAGGGTTTAAGTGAGACTGCTTATAATAGCGCCACTTACACATTTAAATTTACATCATTTAGCAGACAATCTTATCCAGAGCAACTTATGATAGCCAGTGGGACAACCACTTTTTTAAAATTATTATTATTATTATTTATTTTTATGGGGGGGTGGGGGGAGGGAGGGATAGAAGGATTACTTTTATACTATTCCAGGTATTCCTTAAAGGAGGTAGGGTTTCAAGTGTCTCCGGAAGGTGGTCAGTGACTCCGCTGTCCTGGCGTCGTGGGGGAGCTTGTTCCACCATTGGGGTGCCAGAGCAGCGAATAGCTTTAACTGGGCTGAGCGGGAACTGTGCTTCCGTAGAGGTAGGGGGGCTAGCAGGCCAGAGGTGGATGAACGTAGTGCCCTCGTTTGGGTGTAGGATCTGATCAGAGCCTGAAGGTAAGGAGATGCCGTTCCCCTCACAGCTCTGTAGGCAAGCACCATGGTCTTGTAGCAGATGTGCAACCTATAGGCCAATTGGTGCCATTGTTTATGACCAAGTTACTCATGGCCTCTAGTTTCTGTGTGCCAAATTTGATGAAAGAAAAATGTATCTATGCTTGAGTTATTTGACCATGTCAAGGGAAATCAATTATCTAAAGAATAACAAATAGGTTTCACAGCTTATATAGGGAGGGTAATAGCCCATCAACTTATGCAACCCAAAACTATTTTGAGGTTATTTAAAACATTTTAAACCAATGACATCATGGTACTGCAGTAGGGGAAGTGAGAAAGGAATTGTATATGCTCCACCATGGGTACTATTACAGCACATCAGTAAAAAACATAACATCAACATAATGTAACTGAAAACA